CCTTAATCGCTGTCTTTCTTTCTCTCTGCCTGCTTCGTCTCCGCTACGTCTCTGCCTCCCTCACTGTCTAGCGCACTTATATACGGTAATACTGCCTGTTCTAGAAACTTCTAAGACTCTCAACACGTGCTACCAGCGTCACTTGAATTCCGCTGTCGTAACACACTAGCGAATCTTCTTGAATACTCGTCACGTGACCCCCACTGTCGTAACAATACGATTTGTAACTCTCCAGAGATATTATCAGCTAGTCTAAGGAAATGGTAATGCAAAAATCACACCCAATGCCCGCCCCCAAAAAAACCGTATGTGTTCAACCCACAACCTGGCTCGAAGCTCCAATTTTAGCGTCATAAGCACTCGAGCTAATCACTGATCCATTGAGGATAGCTACCCGGATATGTTCTTAAATGCATCAGAATATAGCAATTTTCTTAATGACATTTTAGATTTCCCCTGAAAGCATGACCCCAAACACTTTCTTCCCAATTGAATTTTTAGCCGCGGCATAACGGCTCTTAGAATGGCTCTGAGTTTTCCAAGTACAAAGTTTTAGCTCATAGCTTGGTCATCTCTTGGCCGATTTGAGATGTAATTACAGTTTTGGGTTCAGAAGGTTGATGTATTTGACCAAGCCTAGGGTCTCATAGATTAATTTACTCTACTCCTGCCTAGAAGAATTTCAATTTAAGGGTAGGCTTGTTGAGATCCTGATGTATAATAAAGTCGAATCGGGTATGCGCTTGGTATTGCTGACGCACAAAAATATAGCTAATAAAAAGGGGAAAAAGGTCTCGGAGATTAATTTACTCTAATCCTGCTTACAAGAATTTCAAGTGCCGTGGTTATTGAGGATTCCCTCTTGTTTTTAATAACAGCATTAGTTTTTAAAAATTCTATCCGATCTTCCCTCCCCCTCAAATACTTTATACAATAAAAGAATAACTAAAGTTTCAAATATGAAATTTTGTTTTGCTTTAAATTTTACTAACATTTGTTTTGGATAAAATAATTCTAGAAAACTAGAACTTCTAACACTAATTTCGATCTTGTTCATGCAAAAGGAATAATCTACTCTAATCCTGCCTAAAAGAATTTCAAGTGCCGCGGCTATTTAGGATTTCCTCTTGTTGACGTTTTACATTTTTCCGTGAAAGCATGGCCCCAAACACTTTCTTCCCACTAGAATTTTTACTACTTCGAGTTGCACACATAGCTCGGTTTCTGGGATTTTATCCATAATCTCTGTCCACGTAATAACTGTAGAACCTTGTAGGATCAGCGTGTTTGAACTGATCTTAAAGCTAAAAAGTATTGACCTCAAAAGACAGAATAAGTGAACTTTGTAATATAGATGAATAAACATATAAAATTATATATGTTTACGTTGTTTGTTTATTGTTAACCACAAAGCTAAATAATGAACTATTTCTAGATAATCGCCACCTTTGACTAAGATCTTGAGTTTTTATCGAGAAACTTCTGATAAAGCGACTTTATAAAATAATGAATTTTTGAAATTGTGGTATGAAGAAGTGTGAAAATGAACTGTTTCCGTTTGTCGCTATTTTACTTATTTTTGTTTTTCCTTCCATAATGGTATCAACTCTTTATTTTTTTTACTTCTTTAAGGTATTAACAAAGTGTAGGGTTCTCTACCACAAATAAGGGAAATCGTGTAATATTTTATTCCCCTAGTGGATGAATTCACCCTTCGCGTACGAAGCGAAGCGTAATTAAACCTTAGGCCTAATTATCAATTGTTAGGTGCTTGTATATAAGGCTCTGCTTGAGATAGTTGGAAACGATCAATAGTTATTGAATGGTGAGTTTCTAAAATTGTGGAATAGAGAAATGTAAAAATGAACTGTAGTCACGTGTTTTGTTGTAAATTTATTGTGTGTATATGTGTCTAAGTCACATTTTTATAACATCTGAAACCTGTAATTATATTCTTTCGCGCATTCAGTGTTGCCGTAGGTTCTATAGCGGTAAACTCGTGCTCTGCATACGAAACATGTTTGAATTTTAGACCTAATTGTCCATTCTTAGGCGCCTATTGGAATTTGCATTGAGATGTAATAAATTGTGTTTTGTTATTTAAGATTCACTGAAAGGCAAAGTTGTATCCATAACTTTAAATAATTATCTCCTTTTCGTCAAAGTCCACACAGGCAAGTTCAATTACTTTAGAACATCCTTCCACAAGACAAATTACTCACCTTATTTATGTTGAACTGTGAAACTCACTTTAAAATGTCCCTCAGTGGCACAGCAGTGTGTCTGTGGACTTACAACGCTAAAAACCGGGTTTCGATACCCGTGGTTGGCAGAGCACAGATAGCCCTTAGTCGTAACTTTGTGCTTAACTACAAACAAACACTTTAAACTATCACAGCTAACCTGACAATCACGCAGTCTAACTTCACTTTCACTAACTTAATGTTTTCTGATTAAACTTGCACTTATTGGTCACCTATATATATATATTATCCACCTGAGGCCTAGAACTTTCTACAAACTTCGAGACACTATGGTGTAACAATACTCACTTAAGGCAACGAGAAAAATACAGAAGGTTCGAGTAATCTGACGTCAAATTACAACTGAGCTACACACAACGTACGACTCTTACCGAGTTACGTAACGAAATTTATCTTACAAAATTACTTTTAATAATTATTTTTAATCTTTTAATTACTTTTAATACTTGTTATGAAAACTAAATAATCATTAAATACTAGATTACTAATTAAACTAAATAATAATATTTATACTAAACAGTCTTGTATTTTCAAAAAGGCTACATCTGGCCAAGTCTTTTAAAAGTAAAGTTGAAAGTGTTAAGCACTTCTGAATGACATTATTAAAAACGTTTTCTATGACACTTTGATACAGATTTTGGCGTCTTAAAAATTGTATAATAAGCTTGTAAAGTGATCTACTATATAGCAAGATGTCCTACATTTATCTTTAATGAATAAACTTGTATTCCATGTTATATATATATTTCACTCACATTCCTAATTAACTGTCTATACAGATGGTAAAGTATGTTATATTAATAGGCCCCTCACGAGCCAGTGGGACATTTTTGTTAAAAAGTATTCTTGTCTGCTCATCCTACTGCTGACTACCTTGATGCTTCGACCTTCCCACCGAATCGCAGGTGAAATCGTTCGTATCTCAGTTGAAAGCTAAACGTAAAAAGGTGATAATAGAAACATAAAAGGTTGGCAGTTGTTTAATTAATGATGCTAAAAAACGTGGCTTTATTGATATATACTGAATTTACTCCCAGCTAGTGTGTAGACTTGAAGATGCTGTATTTCACTTAAAAATGTATCAGTTAACAAACGAAAACTATCTCGAAGTTTATTCGAAAAGATACGTCCAAGACCGTCCTCTTTCGGATTGAACTTACTTTTAATATTCAATAAATTATAGTGTAAAGACACTCCTTGACTCCGAGAAACGTGTTAAAACGATTCTGAATATGCAAATCAGCAAGTCACGTAAAAACGACAGCCGATATCGATTCGTGGTAGAACATCATGTATTAAAACAACATTTTATCATTGTTTGACGATATGTAATAGTGTGATGTCATCAAACATTTATCACTTTTTGGAAAAGTATGTAACAGTCCTTTCTGATACAAAATACTAATGCACTCAGATCATAAAGATGTTTTAAGATGGGGATATTCCTTGTACTTAATGACATTGAAAAACAAAGGAACATGGATTAACTTGGGGTGTCCAGAACCATCCAGAAAGAGACCTGTAGCAAGTCATACTTTAGCGGTGGTAAGCAAAGTGAGAATCTAAGAACACAAAGGTTAATGCCAAAAGTCGTTCAAAGCCAACGAGGCCAAAGAACGAAGCCAAGCTCACTAATATAAGTTTTCTAATCATTCGTCTCATTCAATTGTCACAGATCTCAAGCATTTGAAGAATGAAATCGGTATTCAAGCTACTCCATACTAGTCAAGTTACTAGATGCAGCACCTATATAGTTTTGTGTGATCAGACTGTTGAAACGGATACTAGTAGCTGTCATCCTTGTACACTAGATGGATAATGGAACCAAGCAGTGAGGATTGATTTGATTAAACTTGACAGCCATACAACAGAGCCTTTTATAATGAAAACTACACTGCATGATTATTATCAAGATGCAAGGTCATTAGATGGACATGTCGACACAGACTGTCACGACGTGGCGAGTCACTAAAATCGTTTTAATATAACATACTAAACCTCTGTGTATTCATATACACAGCGTGCTCACAAGTAAATAGACACCACCTTTTCAGAAAAAATGAAAATTTTCAGTCATA